TAAATATCAATTAACTTTAAGCATTAATTAAAACAAAAAAAATGTCATATAAGATTTTTTTTTTTTGATATTTCAAAATATTGAAATATATATATCAGAATAACAAAATATTAGATCGATTAGGAAATTAAAACGATTTTGCAAGATAAAAAAAAGGTTCAAAAACAAAAGTTTTGGAGGCGTCAAATTTAAGCCGCACAAGTGACTCTACAAAACAATTTTCTTCAAAATGAAAAAAAAATATAATTGTAATAAAGTGATTGATATTAATATAAAGGTATAAATCAATAGTGTGTTTTAATTATTAATAAAAAATTACAACATAATAAATATACAATATGATTCACAAAAAAAATCTAAAATCACTTATTCAATCTTAAGAGCTATATATATATATATATAGTTATAAAAAACAAAAATATAAAGGTACAAGATAATAAAATGTAGATCGTAAAGAACGAATTGAATTGAATATTCTATATGGATAATAATACAGTATAAAAAAAAATTTGTGATAAAAATAATTGCATTATAATTATAATGCAATTATTTGACTTATAAGTCAAAATCGAAAGCATCATAATTATTTTTATCATAAAGTAGATAACATAAGCAAGTGATAATAAATAAGTTAAATGAGATTCCATTGAGGAAAAATAAAAATAAATTTCTGGGTGCCAACATTTATAGATTTATCTGCTAACATAGGTGCAATTAGGTTGGCTAATATCTCTTAATCTAGATGTACATGGGATCAGTAAAATAAAACAAAAAATATAAAATGACCATGATTTTAGGCTGTTGATGGGTTTTATTCAAGAATTTAGTGGCTCACCAAAGAATTCCACCTGGGCTAGGATCATCATATGATATTATCCTGTATATATGCAAATGTTTGAATTTCTCAAGAGTTAGGCTCAGTTATATTTGGTTACAGATTGTTATATTAATTTCTAGGTTTTTATAAAAAGTTAAATATTCCACAAGAAATAGGAGTGATATACTTTAATCCTTACCACTACGGAATACTCACTTTTATTAAAATCTCTCTATTTTTTACACCTTTTTGACTAATTTTTGGACCATTTTATGAAATCTAGAAATTTACCAAGGGCTAGGGTAATATCTTTTGAGTAAAGGGTATTTTTGATATGTGATATATTATTGCTTTAAACTTAATAATCCGCAAGGGTTGGGGATTTTATTTTATAACCCTTACCACTATGGAATTCCGCGTTTTATTAAATTTTCTTATTTTTTGCCCATTTTAGACTAATTTTTAGCCAATTTTACAAAAACCCGGAATTCCACAGGGGTTAGGGTTACTGTATTAGGTTAGGGTTATTTTTGATATGTGCCATATTATTGCTTTAACATAGATAATACGCAAGGGCTAGGGCTTTTATTTTACAACCCTTACCACTACGGAATTCCGCGTTTTCTAAAATATCTTAATTTTTTGCCCTTTTGAGACTAATTTTTAGCCAATTAACAAAAACCCGGAATCCCACAGGGGTTAGGGCTATTTTGTGATATGTACCATTTTATTGCTTTAACATAGATAATCCGCAAGGGCAGGGGTTATTCTTCTCAGGGGTTAAGGGTGCTTGATTAGGTTAGGGCTTTTATGATATGTGCCATATTATTGCTTTTGACTAGATAATCCGCAAGGGCTAGGGGTTAATCTAAATAACCCTTACCACTGCGGAATACTTACGTTTTTTAAAATGTCTCTGTTTTTTGCTCAATTTTGACTAATTTTTAGACTATTTTAAAATATCTTGATATTCCGCAAGGGTTAAGGCTAATGAGATATGTGCTATATTATTGCTTTAAACTAGATAATCCACAAGGGCTAGGGGATTTATTTCATAACCCTTACCACTATGGAATTCCGCGTTTTTTAAAATTTCCTTATTCTTTGCCTTTTTGGACTAATTTTTAGCAAATTTACAAAAACCCGGAATCCCACAGGGGTTAGGGGTGTTCAATTGGGTTAGGGTTTTTCTGTGATATGTGCCATATTATTGCTTTTAACTAGATAATCCGCAAGGGCTAGGGGTTAATCTAAATAACCCTTACCACTGCGGAATACTTACGTTTTTTAAAATGTCTCTGTTTTTTGCTCAATTTTAACTAATTTTTAGACTATTTTAAAATATCTTGATATTCCGCAAGGGTTAGGGCTAATGAGTTATGTGCTATATTATTGCTTTAAACTAGATAATCCACAAGGGCTAGGGGATTCATAACCCTTACCACTACGGAATTTCGCGTTTTTTAAAATTTCCTTATTCTTTGCCCTTTTTGGACTAATTTTTAGTCCTTTTTACAAAAACGCGGAATCCCATAGGGGTTAAGGCTTTTTCTGATATGTGTCATAATATGGCATTAAACTATACAAACCGCAAGGGCTAGGGCTTTGGTAATATGTGCCATATTGTAGCGATGAACCAAATAATACGCAAGGGCTAGGGGATTTTATTTCATAACCCTTACCACTATGGAATTCCGCGTTTTATTAAATTTTCTTATTTTTTGCCCATTTTAGACTAATTTTTAGCCAATTTTACAAAAACCCGGAATCCCACAAGGGTTAGGGTTACTGTATTAGGTTAGGGTTATTTTTGATATGTGCCATGTTATTGCTTTAATCAAGATAATCCGCAAGGGCTAGGGATTAAATTTAATAACCCTTACCACTATGGAATTCCGCGTTTTTCAAAAATATCCTAATTTTTTGCTCTTTTTAGACTAATTTTTAGCCATTTACAAAAAACCCGGAATCCCTCAAGGGTTAGGGGTATAGTATTAGGTTAGGGTTATTTTTGATATGTGTCAAATTATTGCTTTAATCAAGATAATCCGCAAGGGCTAGGGATTTAATAATATAACCCTTACCACTATGGAATACTCACTTTTTTTTTAAAATGACCTGTTTTTTTGCTCATTATTGTCTAATTTTTTATGCAATTTTGAAAAATCATAAAATACCGCAGGGGTTAGGGCTTTGATAATATGTGATATATTATTGCTTTAAACTTAATAATCCGCAAGGGTTGGGGATTTTATTTTATAACCCTTACCACTATGGAATTCCGCGTTTTATTAAATTTTCTTATTTTTTGCCCATTTTAGACTAATTTTTAACCAATTTTACAAAAACCCGGAATCCCACAAGGGTTAGGGGTACTTTATTAGGTTAGGGTTATTTTTGATATGTGCCATATTATTGCTTTAACATAGATAATACGCAAGGGCTAGGGCTTATATTGTATAACCCTTACCACTGCGGAATATTTTACTTGTTCATAGATGCTCTTTTTTTTTTCCTTTTTCATTGATTTTTAGGTTGGTTAAGAGTACGCTTTCAGTACAATAGGACTTAGATAAGGAAAGTCATGATTCTAACATGAGAGCAGGGCAATCCTTAATTAAGCTCTGGTTGATTAGTATCTCAAAACACTATGAATAAAGGCTCTGTTCAACATTGGCATGGACTCGCAGGTAAAGATTCAAGGCAATGCCATTAGCAAAGTTTTTTTTTTTTTTTTTTTTTTTTACAACCTGGTTTACCAGAGCCTTTAAATGATATGGTTTCCCATCTCTTGCTTAGAAACAGGTTAAATATAAACCTTTAACCTTGTGAATAAACTAGTTAAAGTTAGATGATTAAATAATAAGAGTCGTCATAATAAGTAATGGCAAACTTACCCCCCAAAAAAAGTCATAGGCCGTTAAATGACTTGATAGAAATATTTCACTATCAAAATGAAAGGGAAAAGACATGATATCAATTAAAGGTCAGTGAAATAAGCATTAGTTGTTTATCAACTAAATATTTATAGTTAAATCTAATATTTTGTGCTTTTCATAATTTGCCTTACCTTGCCGTGGTAAAGCTCATTATCAGTCAGAGTATACGTCGTGGATAATCTGTTGTGGAAGAAAGAAAGAAATATATATATATATATTAGGAGAAAGGAAGAGAAAATAAAAGAATAAGTAAATAATAAAAAAAAAAGGGGGGGGGGGAAAACCATTTGGAAAACATTGAGTGAAAGCTGTTTATTTATAGCTATTTTTTTTTTTTTTTTTTTTTTTTTTTGAGGCTCCAACAATAATTTTGTTTTGGTGTCAGTAGATCTTGTGATTATTATTATTAGCCCACTCAGAGAAAGCAATCCAAGATATTTATTATATATATATATATATAAAAATTGAAATACGTTAAATAGAACGTTTTATTAAAGAGGTCCCATTGATTTAAAACATAGACTCAATTTAAAATCATACTTTTTCTGTAAATATATACAAATTTTTAACTCCAAAAAGAGGTTCTGTCATTGCTCAAAAAAAAAAAAAAAAGAAATCCCCTCCATTATTTTTAAAATAAATTTATTTTATTTAAATAAATTACAAAATTATTTGGAATCATTCGAATGATTATTACTTAATATATTAATTAGAAATATTTCACTGAAACAAATTTGAGTTGCTTTAGACCAAAACAAAAGATTTATTTTTTTTCTTCTTTTTCTTCTTTTTTTTTTTTTTTTTTTTTTTTTTTTTTTTTTTTTTTTTTTTTTTGAATTCCAATAATTATTATATCTATAGCATTTAAAACCTTTTGTTTTAGTCATGCATGGGAATAGAGCAAAGAGTATATAATCAACTGATTTTCCTACTCTAAATATTTCTTTACTTTGACTTTCTTTCTTTCTTTCTTTTTTTTTTTACTTATTGTAGATGAATATATAAATATATAAATATATTAAGTAACCTTATAAAGCTCTATAAAAAACCAAACTCTTACCTTTCAAAATCAAAAAGCAAATCTAATAAACTACAAAAAAAAAAATAAAAAATAAAAAATAAAAATAAAAAATACCAATGCCAAAAAAAAAAAAAAAAAAAAAAACAGAAAAACAAACCAAGGGTATTTTCCGGGTACTTTATTTTTTTGATTTTTTTTTGATTTTTTGCAATGATATCACCTTTCATCTCCCCCCCACATTTCCTCCTTCTTTCTCTTTCTCATGATTTTGCATTCCCTCATTTTTGCTCCACCCTACTGTCTTTACAACCCTTCGTTTCTTCTTTATAACCCCTCCTTCATCTGTTACTGAAGATATTGCAACTGCTGCCACAGCTACTAATAACTTTTCAACAACAAGTGGTAACGAAAACACAGACACTTGTGACGGGTCCATGAACCTCCTTCCACCCTTGTCGCCATCAGCTGTAGCTGAACAGTACGCTTTGAGCAATCGCAGCACATCACCAATTATTGTCTGTGCATATTCTGGTGTGACTCCAATTGGTTGCACTCCTGGTGTAAAGCTTTCAATATACAGCATTTGAACTCCTGGTCCAGATTGTTGTAGTTTTCCAACTTTGCTTTTTAGAGCTCTTATCTGGGATTGTAAAGTCAATACCTGGCACGATTGTTTTGATGCTTGGGCTTCCAACTCAAAATTATCACTAGATAGCTTTTCCGTAGATGCTAAAAGAGATGCTACTCGAGCCTCTGTAACCCCTAATGTAGTTGTCTTTTCGTGAGCTTGCATCCGAAGTGTTTCAATGGTATCTCGTTGTACAACAGTTGCAGCTGCCAGTTGATTAGTTTTCCCTTCAAGCTCACAAATCCTTTTTTCACCCTTTTCAATCTGATTGCTCAAAGTCTCAATCCGGGTATCCTTGGTCTTGGAATCATTCATCAGTATTTCAATGGTACTTTCTTTAGTCTGGATATCTGCTGTCAAAGCTTCAATAGACACCTTTTGTTGATCCAATGCTTTTTGAAGTATCTCAATATTTTTGGTTTTTACATCAGCCATCTTTTTCAGTTCTGTATTGACTGCCTCCTTGGCTTTTAATTGATTTACTTTAACATCAACTAAAGCTTTCAGTTTTGCAACTTGTCTTTCCGCACATTCAAGTCGCTCAATCACATCCTTTCGTTCCAGCTCAACTTCCTTAATCTTCATTTCCATATTTTGCAGCTCCTCACGCAGCTTTCCAGAAACTCTCCCTAATTCTTTTTCCAAATACTCTCCACGTTCCTTAAGCTCCAAAATCAGCACTTTAGCTTCACTTGTCTCTGTCCGCCTCTGTTTTCCCAAATACTTTTGTTCTTCAACCATTTGTTCCAAACGAGTTTCCAGTTCCTGAATGTTAGATAAAAGCACTGCACGCTCCTTCATTAAACTATCAACTGCCACTTCAATGTTTTGGAAAATCCAAGCAAATACTTTCTGCGACTGTGGTAGTACTGTTGCCCAAAATCCAATTGTGCGTGCCCCCTCACCGCTGTTCCGAGCCATGTTAAGTACCCTGACCAGTGCTTCTTCAAACTCTTTCCTGGTATTATCTTTTTTGGTATCTTTAATTTCCGCGGCAACTTGATTAATTTGGGTATCCAAAGCCATCAAGTCGTTTGTTTTCTGTGTGATATCTGACTTGAGCGTCATAATCACCAAATCTTTTTCTTCCAGTGTCATTTTCAGGTTGCTTACCTGATGTATTTTTCCCTAGAATTAAGTTTGTTAAAAAAAAAAAAAAATTAAAAATAAAAATAAAAATAAAAATAAAAATAAAATAAAATAAAAATAAAATAAAATAAAACTTTAAAGTGTTTGAACCAATTAAGCCCCGTACCTGCAAATCAATTTTAACCTGGTTAAGCTCATCAAGCAGATTATGCTTGTCAGCCTCGCACTTTGAAACAACATCATTGGCTGATTTTAATTTAGCCTCGTAGTTTGCTTTGGTTTCTATTCTTTGAGTCTGTTCAAATTCAAACGCCTTCATAAATTTCTGCACCTGTCTCTCCAACTTTTCCACCTTGGCTTCATTTTCAGTCTTCATTTTTTCAATCCGACAAGTACTTTCTTTAGTCTTTTGTTTTTCGCAATTTTTCATCTCGTTAATATTCTGGTTTAATCGTTGGATTTCACCTTCTAGTTCCAGCACCTGGTTGTTTTTAAGTGATAAATCAACCGTCAATCTGTCCACTGCTGTAGCCCGTATCTGAGACTCTTTAGCAACTGAAGCAAGCAAAATCTCCTGATTTCGGGAGTGTATTTTATGAGATTCTAATTGTTGATTCTTGGCACGGACAGCCTCTAATTGGGTTTTCTCTAAAGTTTCCGTCAGGTGCTTAATATGGTTCTGGTGTTTAGTAAATAATCCATCTTTATCGACATGTGCTTGGTCTAGCTTTTGTTTTAAAATAAGGCTTTCATCAGTCAATTTGTTAATCACAGCATCCTTTTTCTTGGTCAAAGCTTTGACCTGTTCAACAAGTTGGATTTCCCGTTCTTCAAAACACTTTTCCAAGGTTACCAACTGCTTTTGACAATCCTCCAATAATGTACACGTAACTTTAAGTTCGTCTTCTTCATGGAGCATCTTTTCATGGGTATCCTTATGGCTGCGTTCCTCTAGTTTTAGTTTTACTTCTAAATGCCGCACCTGAGTCTCCAGAGTAGACTTTAACTTTTGCTCAACACGTAAGCTTTCTTCATGTTTTAATACTATTGTTTGAACTTTCTCCAGTTTTTTTGCCCACTCTTTCTTTTGGTATTCGGATTCCAGGCACATAACTTTATACTGTTTCTTGACTTGGTTCAGTTCTACCTCCATCGTTTCTAGTTTTGATTGTAAACCCATGTTGGTTTTAGTGTCAGTCTTTTCTGGAAAATCCTGCTTCATCTTGGATGCATAAACATTAAACTGTTCTTCCTCTTCCTTTTCTTCTTCCCCAAAAGTTTTTTCTTCTTGTACTTGTTGTTGGGATAAATTTTGTTGAGGTCCAAGGTTTGGTTCAGGTACTTTATCAAAGAAATCCATAGTCAAGGTGGGGAATATTAGTGTATTTTCCTTTTCTCTTGATTTTTTTTTCCAGTTTTTCTGTTTACTCGAGTGACGTCTAAAACTATCCGAAGAGTATCCTGAGTAATCATCATCAGAAATAAGGGGTGAGGGGCTCTTGCAAGTAGACAATGGGGCCACTTTATTATCTTGGAATGACACTGTGGGAGCAAACGAAACTTTAAATTGTTTGTTTTTGCGGTCAAGAGTTGAGTTACTTTTCCGTCGTAAAGTTTCCTCCAAAGAAATGTGCTGGAGATCAAATAAATCATGTTGTGAGTTGTCGGTGATTTTAGGGCTTTTCAAAATAGAGAGTGGTTCGACTGGAAGGACCTGTTGGTTGAAAACATCACCATCACTAGCACCATCACCACCATCACCACCACCACCACCACCACCACCACTACCACTACCACCCAAAGAATCAACATCTATCTGAATTGCAATGTTTGATTGAATAAAACTTTCAAGTTCTTCTTCAACAGCACGTGGTAACTTTTGTTTGGTGTCTTTTTTTTTATTTTTTTTTACAAAAGTTTCTCCATTATAATCTTCACTTGGTGATACAATATCAACAGTCTGCCAGAATAAGTCTTGGTGATTTTTATGAGTATTTTTTTTAAACGACACTAAGGTTGCATCTTCAGCAGCATCTTCAGCAGCACCTCTTGATAATTGATTGGTTAGCGATTCGCATGAGGTGTCACTCCAAGAATCTGAGTCAAGAGAGGGTACTCCACAAGCTGTGAAGGGTCTTTGAGTAAATGAGTTTGTGTTACTGTAAGACCCAGTTTTACTAGGTGATGCTGAGTAAAAGGAAGAAGAATCAAGATGGATATTTTGTCTTTTTGTATTCCAGCTCATATGGAAAGGATTAGTATTTTTTTCTTTCTTATTATTTGATGATTGTAATGTAGTGGAGGCTTTTATTATTAGTGGGGTGCTTGAGAAAAGTGGAGAAAAGTCAGAACTTGTTGAGTGACGACGACGACTATTATATGAATGGTGTCGTATATTAGTTCCTTTAAATGGGAAAAACTTGTTTGAAGAAGAGTTTTGGGGAAGTATCTTTAAGTTTTTCCATCTTGTTCTTGGCTCTCTTGTTTTTGTATAAAGGGCTGGTGTTAACGGGTAGTCAAATGTTGTGGGTCTTTGGGAGACTTTAGGGGTTGTTTGAGACATTGAGATAGTTATAATTGAATAAGATTAAAGAAGCGATGATTGAATGAATTATTAAATTATTGAATTATTGAATAAATGAATGAAGTTATAAAAAAAAAAAAAGATATTAGAATATTGATGAAATATATTTATATATATAATGAATGAAATAGAAACAAGATTGATGTAGTTTTATTATTTTATTTTTTGGTGGGTAGAGTAGGAATAATTATATAATTATTTAGTGGGCTTTGAGAGAGATGCAAAAAAAAAAAAAAAAAAAAAAAAAAATTTTTTGTTATTTTCATACTTTTTTTAAAAAAACCTTATCACCTCGTAAACATTGGTATCACCGGGTTAACATTGGTATCAATCACCATATATTATTTTATATACATTAAAATTTTTTTTTTTTAAGGTTAGATTTAAGAGAAGAAAGAAAAAAAAAAAAAAATTGACGAAAATTTAAAAAATAAATAAAAAAAAAATTTTTCTAAATAAATAAAACTAAAATAACTAACTACCTAGTTCATCTGTTGACTTAAGTGTGGACTCGTCATCAACAGCCATTTTTTTATCAAAAATAAATGACTTGAGATTATTAAGAGCATTTTTTTTAAATCTTGTATTTTCAGGGAATCGTGAGGACCATACATCAAGGGATTCATGAATATCATTCCATAACTTTTTAAATCCTTCTGGATCCTTTTTCTTACGATCTTCTTCATCATCCTTGTCTCCACGAATGTCAGAGTTTTTGCTTGCCAAACCAAGTTTATCTTTATACTGCCATTGATCGAAAATTACTGGGAACACAGAGTATGTATCTAATCCACCAGTTTCAATCATTATTGTTAAAACCATATCAACAGCTTCATTCATGTCGATAGCAGTGCGTAGTAATAGTTTCATTGCTCCAGCATGAGAAATTGCATATGAAACAGTACACACTTCACCAGCTCTCCATCTAACAACACGTTTATTTTTCTCAATAGGGTCACCGAAAAACTTCATACCTGATGGAGCATAAGGATCGTCATATTGTAGACTAACTTCTTTACGGCCTGGATTTGCATAGCAACCTCCAAATTGGATAACGTCCCATTTATTATGGAAATATGGGTCTTCCTTTGTAGCATGTTCATCAGGGCCAATAAGTCCTTGTTTTCTTAAAAGTTGTTCGAGGCCATTCCCAAAGTTATGGAAAATATGTCTAAGATTAATATCCCAAACAGCATCAGCTTCTAGGATTAACATTGATTGCCAGTTTTCATCAATCATTTTGCGCCACATATTTGCATGTGAGCGGTAACAAGATTGAGCAGATGGATGCATTTTGACTTTACGGGAGGATGGCGGGAGACCCTTTTGATCGAGAGTTTTTAAATTGACACCTAAGAAACGTTCTGGTTTAATACCACTAAGAACACTTTGCATAGCAATTGTATCATCAAGGTTATATCTATCTGGGACATTTAAATAGAGGATTTTTTGGAATCCTAAAGTTGAGTTTGCAAGACCAAGGATGTTATCATTTTGGAGAGGATCTTGTAAGGGTGATTTTATTTCATTTGAAGAAGAATCAGATTCATTTGGTTGGAAAGTTGTTGTAGTAGTAGTAGTATCTAAGGGGGTGAATGATTTGATGCTTGTGATAAAAGCTGAGATTATTAGAATTAATGTGAAGACAAAGATAAGAGTATATTTTGTGAGGATATTAAGTGGTGGCATTTTTTTTTAAAATAAAAGATTAATATATTTATATATATATATATATATATATAGAAAATGAAGAAGAAGAAAGAAATAGATTAATGAATGAATGAATGAATGAATGAATGAATGAATGAATGAAAATATTTTAATAAATTAAATAAAAAAAAAAAAAAAAAAAAGGGTTAAAAAATAACAAAAACAAAATAGAAAAACAAGTAAAGCCAAGAACAAAAATATAAATTGAATAAAAAAAAAAAAAAGGCCAGCGGAATGAATTTTATTATTATATTATTATATTATTATATTATTATATTATTATATTATTATATTAATATATTAATATATTTATATTTATATTTATATTAATATATTTATATTTATATTTATATTAATATATTTATATTAATATATTTATATTAATATATTTATATTAATATATTTATATTAATTTATATATATTTTCATTATTTTTATTTGAAATGCATTTTTATGTATGAAAACTCACAAAGGGTTATTGCTTTAAAAAACATTTGCTTGTTAAATAAATAAATAAATAAATTTTCTTTTCTTTTTTTTATATTAATTATTATTATTATTTTCAAATGATGAGGCTAAATTTTTTTATTTTTTTATTTTTTTATTCAAATATTAATAAATAATTTATTTAAATAATAAATTTGTTAATATTTAATTAAATTATAATTAACAAAAATTATATATATATATATATATATAAATTCTATTCAACATTTGATTAAATTAACAATTAAATGAAGTTAAAATAAAAATTTAAAAAAAAAATAAAAAAAAAAAACTTACCTTTTATTTATTTATTTCTTTTTTTTTTTTTTTTTTCTTTTTATGTGGTGGTTGTTGTTTGAAATTTCCCCTCCTCCCCCCTCCCCCCAACATATTCAATACGCGAGGTAAGTATATACTTGAAAAAAAAAAAAAAAAAAAAACATCTTACTCACAACACATAAACCTTTTTTTTTTTTTTTATTTTTTTTTTTTAAATTCTAAAATATCTAAAATTGTAAAATATCTAAAACACTTTCTACTCTTACTTTATACTCTTCTCTTTTTTTTTTTGTTTAAAATAAAAAAAAAACTCTCTAGAAATATATATCCTCAATCTATTTATAGTCAAATCTTCTTTAGTTGTTATTATTATTATTGGTGTTATTGTTGTTGGGTTGCAAATACTATTTTTATTTTTAAATAAACCAAAAAAAAAAAAAAACTATATACAACCTCCTTTGTTCAAATAAAGAAAAATAAATAAAAATCTCTTAAAAATCATTATTAACAACAACATTTTTTTTTTTTTTTCATTAAAAACTTCAACCAACCAACTTCCTTCTAATAACCGTAAAATTAATCGTTATTACTTTCATTCTCTTCCTCAATTGACTTTTCAATCTCTGCTTCAAATATCTTTTTCTTATCAAATATATACGACTTGAGATTGTTCAACACATTCTTCTTAAACCTTGAATTCTCAGGAAATCGAGATGTCCAAACGTCCAGAGTCTCATGTAACCCTTTCCATAAATTTCTGGTCTCCTCTTTATCCTGCTTATTATTATTATTTCCTCCTTCCATATCCTCAGGCCCTCTAATATCTGAGTTCTTACTCTCAAGTCCTAACGTACTCTTGTATTGCCATTGATCAAACATCACGGGATAAACACTATATGAAGTTAGCCCTCCAGACTCAATCATAATAGCCAAAATTAAATCCACAGGCTCATTCATATCAATAGCTGTTCGTAATAACAACTTCATTGCTCCAGCTCGAGAAATAGCATACGATACTGTACAAACTTCACCAGCTTGCCATCGTACTACACGGCGATTATTCTTTATAAGATCGCCAAAAAAATGAACCCCTGATGGTGCATATGGATCGTAATATTGCACACTAACATCTTTCCGACGTTCATTGGCATAACATCCTCCAAATTGAATCACATCCCAATGTTTACTCAAATATGGATCATTTTCTGTTGCATGTTCACCCTTTTCAAGTATATTTCGTTTTTTCATTAATTGTTCCAATCCTTGTCCAAAGTGATAAAATATTTGTCGTATATTAATATCCCATACTGCATCTGCCTCAAGAATTAACATTGTTTCCCAACCCTCATCAATCATTTTACGCCACATATTTGCATGAGACCGATAACAAGCTTTGACTCCAGCAATCATTGGTTCTGGTCGAGATGATGGAGGTAATCCTTCTTCCTTGAGAGTTTTTATATTAACCCCAATAAATTGTTCAGGCTTAATACCACTCAGTGCACTTTGCATTGTAATTGTATCGTCTAAATTATATCTGTCGGGAACATTTAGGTAAAGGATTTTTTGGAATCCTAATGTCGAGTTTGCAAGGCCAACCACATCTTGAGCGTGGGCATCATCATCATGATCATCATTATCATTATCATTATCACTATGTAAGTTTTCAAATTTTGAGTTCGAATCTGGTGCATCTAAAGGTACAGCTGTTGGTGAAGAAAATAAATCGTCATCTTTAAGGGTCTTTGTGGTAAACGTATTGCTGCAAAGAATTCCAACTATAAGAAAAATAAAAACTGCGGCCAAGAGACCGATTTTATGGAAGGACCTGAAACGGGAAATAATTGGAGGCATCGTTTTTATTTTATTTTATTTTGATTTTGATTTTTTTTTTTTTTAATATTTTTATTTTGAAAAAAATAAAAAAAAAAGAAGAAGAAGAAAAAAAAAAAAAAGAAACTTTGATAAAAAAAATATTATTATAAGGAAAGGACAAGTTTTTTTATTTATATATTTATTTATTTATTTATTTATTTAATTTATTTATTTAATTTAATTTATTTATTTATTTATTTATTTATTTATTTAGTTATTTAGTTATTAATTCTTAGTGTCTCTATAAATATTCAAAAAGGAATCTTCTCCTTAAATAAAAAATAAAAAATATAAAAAAAAAAATAAATATATTATATATATTTATTTAATTTATTTAAAAGTAAAAAAAATAAGTGCATAAAAAAAAAATTCTTTTTTGTGGCGCGGAATTTTAATTCAACTAGTTGAATTCCAGTGCTGTGAGAAATTACAACTCAACTATTAGCAATTATATTATATAATATATTGGTATTATCATCATTATCTTTATTATTGTTATTTTTATTGTTATTGTTATTGTTATTGTTATTTTTATTATTATAATTACTATCAACTATAATTCTTCTACTATAGTTTTTTTGTTTTTTTTTTTTAAAATCTACCAAACTACCTCCTAAACGACCTCAACGGGTCTCCACCCTTTCTTCCTCCAATACTCTTCTTTTTTTGTTGTCTCTGTTGTTTCTTAATCCGATTCGAATTGTTCTTTCGTGCGCTCACATATTGTTGTTGCTGCTGCTGAGACTGAGGTTGCAACGTGTTTAGGCCTCCTCGAGCTTGAGAAGGAAGCAAATATTGTGGCACTCGCTTTAGGTGCGGCTGTACCTTGGCTGCATGCAGCTCCTTGTCATGTCGCAAAAATGCCAAATCTTCTGGGTTCTCTTCAAAATGCCGCTTTAGTTTCTCCGACGTCAACAACTCTTGACGAATCTCCTTAATCCGAGCCTCGCGAACTGCCATCTTAGTCACCGCTCTAAAAGCTCCCTCCATACGGTACCGGAATGACTCCATCTGCTTCATATCAAATACATAGGGCTGAATAATAACTGCTGCATCATTCTCACTATACCCCTCGGGCACTCCACTAGATGATGCAATCTGTTCCTCATCCAATCCTAATCTCTTCAATGCTTTAGCTCGCTTCTTTTCTTGATGCTTCATCACTCTTGCAAGAACCTTTTCATCCTTCTTGGCCGTATCTAAACTTGCCGTCCGGTATTCCTTCTTGCGCCAGTCTTTACGAGGAACAACAAACGACAATGCCATTCCTGACTTGTTGGCTCTTGCTGTACGTCCAATGCGATGAGTATAAACCGTGGCAGATGTCGGTAAATCAAAGTTAAGAACGCATGCAACATTCCGGAAATCAACTCCACGTGAAACACTATATTCCTTATCGGATGAAAATTTAGACTTTTTATTTCGTCTCCTCTTTTTTTGAGTTTCTTTCCCTTCTTCTTGCTCTTGCTCTTCTTCTTTTTCTTCTTCCTCATCCTTCTCTCCATCTTCCATGTAATGCGTGTTTTCGTCCGTAGCAATAAGCAAATCATAAACATTCCTGTTAAACTCCTCCACAATGTGTAATCGCGAAGCAATAGGCAGCTCCGAGTTTAAAACAATTGACTTAATACCAAATTGTTCCAAAAACAGTTTCAGTTGGTAACATCGCTCGATATTGTTGACAAAAATTAATGTCTTACCCCGAATCAATCTAAGCTTGAAAATCACATAAATTAGCAGAAACTTGTCAATTTCTGAAGTCTTCACATAGTACTGCAATAACTTATTGGATGAAGCCCCTCCAGCTTCTCCTACATTGTCTTCCAGTCGCAACACTGCAAGATTTTTCCGGCAAAACGCAGCCTTGATATCGTTAATGTCTTCACTAATAGTGGCTGACATCAGCCATGTTTGAATGGTCTTTTTAACCGGCAACAATTGAGCCAGAGCATCCAAGTCCTCCCGGAACCCATATGACAATATCAAATCCGCTTCGTCAATGACTAAATACGAAATTGCACTCGCATCAATCGATCCACTTTGGATATGGGCAAGCACTTTGGCTGGAGTCCCGACAATGATGGCTGGCTTTGTAGCCAGCAACGATGCCATAATATTTTCTGAAGATGTCGTGGCAGTAGCTGATGATGACTGTTGCGACGACACATTAACCACTCCCACAAGCTTGTCTGCGAAAATGGTCAGAGACTTGAACAGCTTGGCGACTTGGTCAGCCAGTTCTCTAGATGGCACAAGAATAATCGCACGGTTACCCACAGCACCCTTATGTGTAGACGAGGTTTCGCTCTGTGACTTGACAGATTCTTGCAGAATGCTCTCCACAATAGGGATTGCGTATGCCACGGTTTTACCAGAACCTGTCTTTGCGCGGCCAATAATATCCTTTTTCAAACCAAGTGCAAGAGGAATTGCCTTGACCTGAATCGGCGTAGGTTTATAGAGCTTGATCAATGAAAGAGCTTGAAGTAATCGTGAGTCCAGATCGAGCTCGGCAAATGTTGTATCTTCGAGAGTCTCTTCATCCATGGCCAAAAGTTTCCTTTCTTCTTCAGAATAGGCGTCGTATTCTGTTTGAACCTTAGGTTCTTCTTCTTCTTCTTCTTCTTCTATTTCTTCTTCGACTTCTTCCTCTTCATCACTAGAATCCTTTTCTTCTTTTCCTTCTTCGTCTTTAGGGTCGATCATTTCAACATCTTCACTTTGATCCTTGATTTCCTTTTTAGCAACTGGAGCAGCAACTTGTTGCTTATTAGACTTCTTAGAGTCCTTGGCTTCTTTCGGAGCACTTTTGGGTATTCTTTCTTTGATTGAGACTTTCTTTTTCCCCATCTTTGAATATGATTGAAAAGTTTTTTTTTTTTTTGTTTGTTTGAATTTAGTAAAGAAAAAAAAAATTCAAACTTCTTTCTTGTTTAAAATCAAATAGAAAAAAAAAAAAAAAAAAAAAAACTTTTCGCTTTTAAAAAAAAAAAAAAAAAATTCAGAAATTTTTTGGCCGTTAAAAAAATTATGTAATGATGACTAATTATGTCATGTTGTTGCCCCCCCAAACCACGTTATCAGCTAGCCACTGCAATTCACCACCAACATTTTCTTCTCCACAGACCATATTATTTCAAATTATTCAAATTATTCAAACTATTCAATTCAAATTATCTAAATTACAAAAATCATAAAAATCATAAAATTAATTTCACTTATTCACAATTACTCATTTCTATAATCAGTTTTTTTCAAGACCTTTCAATCCTTACCAAACATCTTTTAAAACTCTTCATACTCACCGGAAACATTTTTTTTTTCTCAACAGACCCAATTCAACAAACAAAACTCCAACCTTCTAATATTACCAAAATCTCTCTTTTTCATCTTAATCAAGTTTAATTTATTTCAAAATAGAAATAGAAATAAATAAATAAAAAAACCATCATTTCAATATTATTAAACACTGGAAATCTCTCAAAATAAAAAAAAAAAAAAACCAACCCACTTTCCTTTTTTTTTTAAAAAAAACAAAACCTTCTAATCCGTGACTAAATATTACATAACTTGTCCTCCAAAAGTAAGGCCTTAAACGAATTGTACTGTCCGCGTGCCATTTAAAATACACTTTCCCTTCAACAAACAACCAAACAAACAAAAACCTTTTTTTTTTTTGGCCATTTTTTTATTTCTATTTCTTATTTCTTCTATTCTTTAAGTCCTTCTTCTTCATCTTGTTATCACCATCTTCGTCACATTGCCTCCAATCTCCTCTTTTTTTTTTTTTTTGCCTTTTTTATATATAAATATTTGTATATAATCCCCTCCTTATCCACTTATCCTACCCAGTCAACTCATATACAATAATGTCCTCTTCAACTACTCTTCCTCCACCACCCATTAAATCCCCACACTTTTCTCTCTGGGCTTCTCCCCTAAGCCCTCTTGCAAACTTCCAATCATCCTCATCATTGCCGTCGTCTGCTGATGTCGTCATCATTGGCTCAGGCTTCAGCGGCGCTTCTGTAGCTTACCATTTACTCGTCGACCCCTCATCTTCAACCTCTTCTTCTTATTATCACCAAAACCCATCCTTGACCTCATCCCCAAACAAAAAACCCCGCGTCGTTATGCTCGAGGCCCGCCAAACATGCTCTGGAGCCTCGGGCCGAAACGGCGGTCACTTGCATCCAAGCTTCACCTATGGTGCTGCTACTTGGGCCACTGATGATGATGCAACGCGCAACCAGCACTTGGCCAAAATTGCCTTTGACGCCAAAAACTACTCCACTCTGGCTGCTCTCATTGCTCAAAACAACATTGCTTCCGCTCAAAGTATCTTTACAGATGGACCAAACAATTCTCCTTCTTCCTCGCTGGCCGCTGGATGGGCTGTTTACGATACTCCTCAGGAATTTGCCCAAGCATGTGCGGTGGTATCTGCTTACATCCAAGCTTCCCCAGAACCAGACCACCCACCAATCCGCATTTACTCCAGAGACGAGGCCCGCAAGCGCACAGGTTTGACCAACATTGCAGGAGCTTTACATTGTCCAGCAACTCCCTTATGTGGGTATTCACTTGTAAGCTGGCTTCTAATGGAGTGCATCACAAAGGGAAATCTCCAGTTGCATTCAAATACTCCAGTACGTGCAGTCACTCGCGAAACCCCAGAAGCCGTTGGCAGAGATAAGCCACTAGAGTATGTTATCAAAACAAGTCGTGGACCCATTAAAACACCCGTCATTATATTTGCAACAAATGCCTATACGGGAAATCTTGTAAGCAAAAGTACCGTTTCACCCAAGGCATATCTTGATTCCATTAAACAGTCAGTGTCCCCAGAGGTTTTTGCGCGCGGGTCATCTGCCATTGTGATACCTCCATCCTCACAAGTTACCGTTAAGGACTACTTTTCCTCTGCTCGCAATGTTCTCTCGTCTACCTCGTCATCAATGCAGGGTCCGGCAGCTAGCTTAAACAATAACCCGATGCATATTGACGTGGAAATCGAAACAAGATTACGCACAGAAATATACCCAGTTCGTGGACAAGTCGCCCACTATCAGGCCCCGCACATACTCACATCCCAGCACCTGACAGCCGTGCGGCCCACCGGGGTGCCCAAACTTAGTTTGGTATGGAACGACGAATACCTTGCGGTTGTGCCTCAACGATCAGGAGACGCCCAGGGCCAAGTCGACATTGTGTTTGGTGGGTGCCGCCGGTTCGGTGCTTCAAAACAGGTGGGTCTTACAGATGACAATTCCCTTAGTAATGTGGTGAGCTGGACTCTCGATGACTACTTTGCCACACGTATAGGTGTACCTCTTCAATCTTCCGAAGACCCCGTTGAAGCTATGGCTGGGTCGTTCACCCGAACGCTTGTTTTGGATGACTCTAAGGAGGCTAATGGTTCCGTTGCAACCACCACAGCTGTCAAGGTACAAGAATGGACAGGCATTATGGGTTTTACACGAGACGAAAGACCGTGTGTAGGGTCATTGATTGAGGATGAAGAAGAAGCACAGGCCGGACCCCGCGTGCTGGTCATTGGAGGGTTTGGAGGCCATGGTATGCCGCGCATTTTCTTGTCTGCAAAGGCACTTGTCCACAGATACTTGAGAAAAGTTGATGATACCGAAGAAGCCAATTCCTGGCCATTGTGGTTTCCCTCAGAGTATATTAATTAAATGGGGTTTTTTTTTTTTTTAAAAAAAAGAAAAAAAAAAAAATTTTGGTTATTTTTAGTGTGTAAAAGAATTCCATTTATTAGTATATTTAATTGAATTTAGTAAAAAAGTTAACAAGGTGATGGTTAATTATTATTATTATTTTTTTTTGTAACTGTAACAATAATTAATTGTTAATTAAAATCAAATATAACTGAAAAAAAAGAAAAAAATTAAACTCACCACCTTTAAACCTTCACACTCTACCAAGCATACTATCATGGCCCCGCTTAGCAACCCAGCCAAGTACAAAAAGTCACAGGGAGTCTTGACGATTGATCTTGCAACCGATAAATTGCTTTGGCAAGGCGATGGAGCAGTTGCTCCTTCTGTCCAGCTTAAGCTATCAAATATCGAGCGTATGTTAGTCTTTTATTTTTTTATTTTTATTTATTTTATTTTTTTTTTTTTGACTCTAATAAGAAATGATAATGAAATAACAATGATAAACTAATTATGACCTTTTTCCTCTTCATTTTAGACTTGCAAGCAACTCCGGCAACATCGGCCAAATCAATGATTAAAATCATGATGAAGGAAGGCACAGACCCGTTCACTTTCCTCTTTTCTGCGCGACCCATTCTGGCCTCGGTTCGTGACGTTTTATCTGCATTGATTCACGAGCGACAAGCAAAGGAGTCCAGTGCAACTGCAACTGCAACTGCAACTGCAACTGCAACTGCAACTGCCACTACAACTACAACTACAACTACAACTGCAACTGCAACTGCAACTGCAACTGCAGACTCCAAATCCCAGCCTGATTCGTCATCTTCATCTTCATCTAAATCGTCGTCACCACCAGTCCAAACTGTAGGCAAAAAACAAAAACAAAAAGTGGCAGCACCAAATGCAATTCCTTTAGATACAAAGTCACTTTTAAGAAACCTCAAGCTCCAGCAAGATGTCATCCAAAGTACTCCTGAAATCAAGCGTGCATTTGAAGATGCAGTTATTACTGGTGGACTGTCACACGAAGACTTTTGGTCAACACGAATCCATTTGTTGCGAGCCCATGTGCTGGCAGCATCGCAAAAGCGAGGACCATACAATGTGTTGAGTACCATCAAACACAAGACCAATAGCGAGAACCAGCAAACGCTAACATTATCAGTTGAAAAAATTAATGACATTTATGAGCAGTATCCTATTGTGTACCAAGCATTTAAGGATAATGTTCCGCCGATGGACAGCAATGTTTTTTGGGTAGAGTTTTTTAGTTCACGGTTGTTTCGTCGGTTAAGAGGTGATCGAATTAAACCATCGGATCCTACAAATACTATTCTTGACAAGTACCTTGATTACTTAGATAATTACGAAACTAACAAACAAACAGCACACCAAACATTATTGAAAAAACGTAAGCTTGACGAAGAGGCAGCCGGGTCCCAGGACCAAGACATTGAAGTACCATTTTTTATCAACATTGAAGGCAATGAGGAAAACGATCCTCAGCGACTTGGAAACCGACCAGACTATACAATGAGGTCAGGTGCAGAAGGTCCTAGTGCATTGACATTATTAAAGTCAATGAACTGGTTATCACAACGCATGGTTTATGGACAGGAAGGATCAGCAGTGACTGCGTCAAGTAATGGGACAGGATCCACATCACGCGCTGCCATTGTCCCGATGCATGACCAGGATGAATCACATTTGATGGACGAGCTGAGGATCCGTGGTCTTGAAGATGAACAAACTCCAGAATATTTGAAGCTGGAGGTAAGACCTGTGGATACTGATGCGATACGTGAGGAGGTTGCAGCTAATAATATTCTTCCAGCGATAACCAATGGGGTCATGGAGAAAAGTCCACAGCCGCAAACAGAACAGTCACAAGTTACATATAATGAGAGTTTGCAGTACATGCATGAGAATGTAACAGGTTCTGTAGATTTGCAAGAAGTGGGAGCAGGGCCTGGCCATCAGGATGCTTTAAAACGAGCGCAGAAACATATTATGAGGACTGTGAAGCTGAGGTCTAAAGAAGGAGGTGATAATCGAAGTTTTGAAGAGCGAGAAGTTGAGGGAGTAGTTGAGAGTAAAGTTGGTTCTGTTCATGCTACATCTGTTGAGTTTCTTCGACATTTTTGGATTCATTTTTTAAGTGGTGATCCAACACAAGCTTTAGCTATAAACAAATTAGTATCTGGACTTAAAAAAAGTTTGGAAAAAATTGATGCTTTAGAAAAACAAGAAGAAGGTAAACCATATTGTGCTCAAGTAATTGCAGCTCTTGGACCACTTGTTGATTCAATTACTAAAGCTCTTGAGGCATACCAGGGAGCCGTGGCAATGTACCAACAAACCAATACAGTCTTGGCCAATGGTGATATTAGTGCAAGCGGGACTCCAGAACCGTTGGCATGATTATTGTTATTGACAGTAATTAATCATTATCTATAATAATAATAATAATAATAATAAAAATAAAATAAAAAAGAACAAGTGGACTTGATCATTAAATAGTGTTTGAATAAATTGAAACGTTTATTTCTATATATTAAAATGTCAATTCTATTTATAAAGGGAGGGGGGACTCTCTTTCAAATGATGAATTGAAAATTGTTTATATATATATATATATATATATATAGCATCAGGAATTCCTACAAAGCCCATATTTTTCATTTGTTTTTTTTTTTTTGGCCTTTTTTGCTTTTGCTTTGAGGTTTTCTTCCGGATCTTATGTCCAAAACCCGTTTGTTTATTTGTTTGTTTAAATCAATCAATTCATAACAATAACTTATCACAATATGATATAATAATAATAATAATAAATAATTTCCTCCAAAAAAAATACTTTCTTTCTTTGTTAGAAAAATTCATCATCTGTTTTTTTTTTTTTTTTTGTAAACCATTTAATTATTCATTTATTCCGTTTAAAAAATTAAAAAAAATTTAAAAAAATTTTAACAAAAAAAAAAAAAAAAGTCCAACCGTCGTCTAACCAAAAAAGCACTTCTTTACATTTTTTCATCTACATTGGTTTTACCTCCTCCTCCTTTTTCAGATGACATCAACACAAAAAAAAAAACAAGCCGCTCAAACCGAGCATCTTATAAACCCATTCCAGTTCCGAAAAGGAAAAAAAAAAACTCAAATTTTATCAAATTTTATCAAATTTTATCAAATTTTTTTCTTCATAAACCCGTAAAAGCAACATAAATTGTAAAAAAAAAAAAAAAAACATCAAAAGCATTATATATAAATAAAACAAAAAAATCAAATAAAATAAAATCAAACAGACAGCTCTTGGGGCCACTCTCTAACCGAGTGAGCAACCATGGCAGATGGACCATTGGTCTGCTTCTGCTGCTGTTGTTGTTGTTGTTGTGGTTGTGGTTGTGGTTGAGACTTGGACTGAACACTGGACCCGGCAGTCACAGTTGTACCTTCCGTCTCACTTCCACTACCGCGAGTACTGCTGCCACTACTACTTGCACTCTTGGGGCCTTGGAAAAAACAATAATTCTTAATCAGTTCCTGGTACGAGCCAGCATTGAGAGCAAGCTTGTGTGTAGAAAAAGATGCTGGAGATCTGCGGGCTCCAGTACTAGAAGGAGTCGTTACCTTAGACTTATTTTGAGCCAAGCTAGGCAAATGGGCATACTCCTCATCATCAGAATCGGACGACGACTCTTCGCGGCGAAGAGCAAACTGCGAGTTGAATGCAAAGGGGGTATTAGAGCTAGGTGTGGTGTTGTTGTTATTGTTGTTAGCATTCTTCTGGGTATCTTTATTGGTAGTAGTATTAATATTATTATCGTCAGTCTTTTTTCTTGTTGCATTCAACGACGCACCAAAGCTGTACCGCGAAGTGAAATTGGAGCGCTGGTTATCAGCATTATTTTTAAGTTTAGGAGCAAGGTCATCCAAAATGTCATCGACGCTGGATATAGATGATGAGAGAGCATCAAAGTCATGGTTAAAGTCCGAGTCCAGGCGGAGTTCTTGTGGGTTGCTAGTGTGGGAGAAATCTGAGCCATCTCGAGAGTTGAAAGACCCACTATAAGATTTTGAACGACGATGGCGAGGACCTGAAGATGAAGATCGTCGGCTCAACGACCCGCCACTACTCTTGCTAACCCTGGTGAAATCAACCTGATAATTGTACGAATTGTTATTGTCCCAAAACTCCTGGCCAGCAGTAGCATAACGAACACAAAGGTACATTGATTTAGAGGTTAAAGTATTGTAAGGGATATTAGCAAGCTTAATGGCAAAGGTGAACTTGTCAAAGCCAGGCAGACGCTTCTTTCGGCGCACGTCATCGTTATAATCAGCTTGAACCTCCGTAAAGGTTTTCCAATAGTCTGTAGTATAGCGGATGCAAACATACTTTTGATAAGCCATGTTACGTACCGCAATGTGGCCAACAAGACTCTCCTTGTCCGAGGAAAGGAAAATGCTTTCCAGACAGACATTTTTTGTAGACATGTCATCGAGGGAAACATGTGGAAAATTTGGAAGGGAAATCTTCCACTCTGAGCGAGAAAGAAAGCGCTGAAACCCAACACGTGGGTCTTCTTCAATTTCAGATTCCGAGTCAGATTCAGATTCCGAGTCTGGGGCTCTGAGATGGAACTTTGCACGTTCATCACTTGGGGAAGAATCAGCACTAACAGCTGTTGGTTTTTCAGAGTTTAAAAAGTGGCGAACATGGACCAAGTTGGTATCAAAGTGAACCATCTTGGAGGGGGTGTTTGGCATGCTGCATGGTCTCACAAGACTTGGGAGTTTAAGAGACGACTTGACACGTTCGCCAGACTTTTTGCGGATAATGACTTGGGAGGGGCTAGTTGGGAGGTTAATGTGAAGAGGAGGAGGGGGAGGAGAAGTAGCCAATGGAGTTGTTGTTGTTGATGATGAAGAAGGGAGTTGAAGAGGAGCAGCAGTAGATGTGGTGGTATTATTTTGAGCCAGTGTAGGAATTGTAGGGCTACTGTGGACAGGTGTAGAAGGTGTGAGGGTGCAAAGAGAAGTTGTAGAGTCAATATTGACAGGAGGGGAAGTAGTAGATGTGGTGTTGGTGGTGGTGGTGGTTGAGTCAGTTGATGTAATTGTTGATGTAGTAGTGGTAGTAGCGGCAGGTTCGGCAACCTTTACTTCTTCCTTTTCCTTGGTAGGAAGGGAAACGCAAGAGGCGTTTGGAGGAGTTGAAGTTTCCGAGTCCACAAAGGGTGCAGCGGATGCGTCTTGAGCACGTTTTTCCATAGCGACATTGTGATAGCTTTGAGCCAAGGCCATTGCTTGAACGGCTTGAGTTAGTTTTGAAAATAAAATAGGGTCATTATCCAGAGATAAAGAAGAGGAGGAAGTAGATGAAGAGGTCGAGGAGGCTTCAGAGGAAGAGGACTCGTCGGTTGAAAAGGAAGGGCTGGCTGTGAGAGATGCAGAGGAGGAGGGAGAGGTTGGAGACAATGGAGGAGAGCGCTGAGGGTAACCACGAGGTTGCTTCGATAAAAACTGAGCCGAGAGGGGTTTTTTTTCGACAAAAGTAGTCATATCTGAGCATGAAGAGGCCGACTTTAGAGAAGATGCAGGAGAGTGTGATTTTTTAGGCTTATAAAGAGGGAGTAGAGATGGGGCCAGAGGAGTTGTTGGGCCATTTGCCATAGCGCATAGAGAAGCGGATGATGATCGAGAGGAAGGTCTGTGGATTTTTGAGGGTAAATGGGTTGAAGGAGGAGGAGGAGGAAAGGTAAATGCATGAGAAGATGAGGATGAGTTGTTATTGTTGTTGGTTGTGGTGTTGTTACTAGACACATGTTGTTTTACGCTCGGAGAGGTTGAAATGTAGGAAGTTGGTTCGATGCAAAGGGCGGGAGATTGTGATGATTGTAGGGCCGAGCGAGAGGCATCGATGGAGGGGTTATTGCGTGAGTGATTTGATTTTGGAGCAATGTATGGCATTTTAATTCATTCCGTTGAGTAGGTGAGATATGGTATATACAAGGGAAGGATAGAAATGAACCTGAATTTTTATCTTTTTTTTTTTTTAAAAAAAAAAGGTTCTAGAAAGGTTAGAGAAAGAAAAAAATTATATATATAAAAAAAAAACGTACTTTTGAAGAGATTATATATAAATGGGCTGTGTTTTATGCACACAATGTCTTAATAAAAAAAATTTTTTTTTATCAAAGGACACAAAAAAAAAAAAAAAAAAAGAAAAAGAAAATTGAGTTTATTAAAACCGCACTTTGTCGTATTTCAACAACAAAAAAAAATATTATAAAATATAAAAATAATTTTTTATATTATTCTCAAAAAAAAAAAGGTTTATGCGAGAATAAATAATGATTGATAAGATGAGTAAATAAGATGAGTAAAAATGATGCGTGGGTTTTGTTTTTTATATTTATAATTGAGATGAAAAAAAATATTGCCACCAATTTATTAGTAAAAATAAAGAAGGAGGACTTTATGGATGATTATGTTGAAAATTTTTATTTATTTATTTATTTTTTTTTATAAAAAAAAATAAATGGCAAGTTTTAACAAAAAAAAAAACGAATTTAATTTATATTTATTCTCTCTTTCAAGAATAAGAAAAAAATAAAAAAAAAAAAAGACGGGCGGATTAGAAGGTCTTTTTATACTCTCTCACAGATATTTAGGCCTAGAAGGCTTATCAAAATTTAAAAAAAATAAAAATAAAAATAAAAGTTACGCCAGAGATAAGAATTATGACAAGTTTTTGTTGAGCTCTTTTTATTTATTATTACTATTATTACTATTACTACTACTCCTGTTATATAATGATGCCTAAAACACGCGGCCAAAGCTCCTCCAGTACGACATACAAAACATTCATATAAGAAAAAAAAAAAAAATGACACTATTTTACAGATGAAATATATAAAAAAACTTAAACAATTCTAGATTAATTTAAATCAATTTATATGATAATTTAAAAGTATTATTAATATAAATATATATATATATTTTAAATAAAATTGTTCAATTCAATTATATTTTTATTATTTATATATATATTTTTTTGCTGTTAGTTAACATTTCTGGGCTCATTTTTTTTTTAAGCTCAGTGCTTGTTGTTGTTGTTGCTGCTGCTGCCTTTGAACTCCTTTCTTAAACGCGTTTTTTTTTTTTTTATATAAAAAATTTTTTTTTTTTTGTTAGCACCACTGGTGGTAGTAGTATTATATTTTATAGTGATGGTTTATTGACTACTACTAAATATCTATTTTAAAAAAAGAAAAAAAACAGATGATTTTGTTACGCTTTAGGACACTTACGCTCAACCCACTTTTAAATATTTTAGTTTTTTTTTTTTTTTTTTTTAAAGAAATAAAAATAACAAAAATAATATATTAATCCAGATTTATTAAATCTATTCATCCATATATCTGTAACACATGTGTGTATGTATATGTGAAATCCAAAGCGTCTTTTTTTTTTTTTTTTTTTTTTTTCAATTGAATACTAAAAAAAAAAAATAAATAAATAAATTTAAACTTTAACTTGTCGGGTCCTCTATTTTTCTCCTATTCCCTTAAATAATAATAAAGTCCTATATAATAATTGATTTATTTATTTATTTATTTATTTATTGATGAAAACACTTACTAACTAAATTATATTTTCTCTCTCGTTTAAACTCGGTCCCGGGGCTTCCGGGATATGTAAGTGGCCCGCAGCAACCCGCTCATCTTTAGTGACTAACTAATTGACTAACAGCGTTATTTTGTCAAACGCTCTTTATATATATATATATATATATATTGATTTATTAATAAAAAATTAAAATTAAAATTGACATTCTGGGTTTTTTTTTTTTTTTCTGATGTAACTATGACTGGTTGACTAACTAACTAACTATCTAACTAGTTGAAAGAATTGGTCATAACAATGGAATTGATTGAGTTTTATAAAATAATTTCAACTCTCCACTTCTAAATTAAAAACATTGTCATTATATTTTTTTTTTTAGTTTAAATACTTGACAAATCTTTTTTTTAAAAGATTTTGATTTATTTCCCATTGATCTGAGGAAGGTTTTTAAATGGGCTTTGAAGTTAAATGGTTTTTTATTATTTTTTTTATTTTAAGTGTTTGTTAATTTTGTTGCATCTTCTGTATTTTACCATTTAAAGGTTCCGCTCGCTTTTTTTTTTTAAGCATACACACACACACATACTCCACTCACACAAATTCATGTGATTTTTTTTTTATTTTCAATGGGCGTCAGTGCTCCGTCAATGAACATACGCTCACGCAAACATTGAAGCCCGATATGCGCAGCACTAATCGAGTATTTTATTTTTTTTTTTTTTTTTTTTTTTGAAATCAAGATAAACTAGAACATTAGATTTTAGAAATCCAAAAAGAAAAAAAGAAAAAATGCTTTGAGCCACTTTTTTTTTTAAAAAAATTTTTTCTGATGGAGTACTTCATCTTTTTTTTTTTTTATATCTCTTTCTTCTTCTCGTAATCTTCTCGTAACTTGGATTTTTTTTTTTATTTTTTTTTTCATGGGCTTGGTACAATTACAATTACAAAAAAAAAAAATATATATATATATACGTGTGTGAGAAACCTTCAAAAAATTCTATTTTTAAGACTAATTTATTATGACGACGATGATGATGACACAACGAACCAGCCCAACTGTGGCTAATTATCTATCTAACAAGGACCCGGTCAAGACGTCTTTCTCAACACATATCACTCACCCAAAAAAAAAACAAAATGAAAAAAAAAAGCAATAAACGTAAAAATAAAAATAAAAATAAAAGTAAACTTATGCAGGCCTCGGACCCCCCGGTCTTTCACACTAAACTATCATCATCATTATTATTATTATTATTATTATTATTATTATTATTATTATTATTATTATTATTATTATTATTATTATTATATATTACCATTACTATCAATGCCTCAATGCCTCAATTCAAGTACCGGCCACGCAAGTAACCGAAGATGAAGATTTTTTGTTGATGATGATGAAAGCACCGATAGCGGCCAATTACAAATATTTTTTATTATTCAATTTTTTTTAATTTTTACCTCTCCCCCCCCCCAACAAAATAAAAAAAATAATTAAAATAAAATAAAAAGAGAGAAAGCCTCAAAAGTCAGTTAAGTTACTTTAGTTAACTAATTCGGTTGTATTAAAAAAAATAAATAAAATAAAATAAATGACTAGTTGATAATTATTATTTTAAAAATAAAATAAATTCCCAAAAAACGCACATCCCTGTCAAACGGCCTCAGATGGACTGAAAGTTTCATCAAAAAAAAAAAAAAACTCAAGCAGCTTAGCTGAATTTATAAACTTAACATCTCTTCTTTGTATTTATTCAATTGGGAGGAAGTTTTTTTTTTTTTTTTGTTAGATGCTGATGTTTAGTCATAGTAGTAATAATAATAATAACAATAACAATATTAACATTTATAAATTTCAATGTCCTTTATATTAATAAGTTGCTAAATGTCGCTTATTCTAGCTGATTTTTTATTTTTGTTTTAGTTGTTGTTTTAGTTGTTGTTGCTTCTGTTGTTATTGCTGTTGCTGTTGCTTTTGTAAAATATATCAGTCTTCTTTCTTTACAATTAACAAAAGGTTTTGATTTTTTTGTTCTTCTCCTCTATTCATCTCCCCTCCTCAGTCCGAGATCCCCCGCTTTTTGTTAGTTCAAAAAAAAAAAAAATAAAAAATTTAAAAAATTTAAAAAATTACTCCGGTTTTTATGCGATGAAATATAAATCTATTTCCAAGGAATAAATAAAAAAAAAAAAGGTGCGGGGTCATTCATTACATTTACTAAATTTACTATATTTATTAAGGAACTCACACCATCAAGGAGGGGTAGAAATATTGAAACAAATAATAATGCCACTGTCAATATTCAAATATTCAATTATATAAAAATATATAAACTAATTGAGTACGGAAACTAATATATATATATATATATATATATATATATATTGATAATGTTGTTGTTGTTGTTTATATATTATTAAATACATTAAAATAACGACTATATTCCTTTATAAATTTTTTTTAATTAAAAAGTACCTTGAAATATTGATATAAAAATATATTTATATTTATATTTATATTTATCTATAAAAAAAAAAAAAAATTCTACTAATAAGAATATCAAAAAGATCATAGCGGGGCTCTCGGTGATTGTATTTACAAGTACCTGAAAGGGTTTTCTTTTTTTTTTATTAATTTTTTTTTTTCCGGGGGAAGGAACAAGAAAAAAAGGAAACCCAGAAATTCTTTTTTTTTTTTTTTTTTTTTTTTTTTAAAAAAAATAAAAAATAAAATAAACGAGGCCTTCTTTTGCCCCTCTTAAAAAAAAAAAATAAAAAAAATTTCATCCCCGCTCTTCTCTGTGTCCTCGACGCACCTTTGAACATACATTCACCCGATTCGGAAGTTACAAACGCCGTTTGTGTCCGAGAGTAATGTTTGTTATTTCTTCTTTTTTTTTTTTTTTTTGAGGCATTCTTAATATAAAAAAAATAAAAAAAATAAAATTATCAATTCCGACGGGTCTCGGGACTTTATTGTTACGGGACTCAAGGTAAGAAAAGTATATAGGAGTTTCCATATAAAATAATAAGAAGAAAAAGAAAAAGGTTATTTTGAATTAATGAAAAATTTCAACAATGTGTTTTTTTTTTTTTTTTTTTTTTTTCATATCATTAAATTTTTAAAATAAAATAAAACAAAATAAAAAAATTTTCTCCGAGGAGATACCCGTCAATTTTTTCATTGTTATTTTATATTTAAGCTTTTATATATGTATATATGGAAAAAATTTTTTTTTTTTTTTTTTTTTTTTTTTTTTTTCAATTAGAATTTTGATACATTATTACAAAATAAATTGATGAGTGGGTGAGTTTAAAAGATCTTTTAAAATATATTTTAA